GAGCAATAAAGATGGTTTGGTTATTAAAAGCCACCTGGTGCAATAGAGTCTCCTCCGCCCCCTTTTGCTTTCGTTCGACATCGGTTTCCATTCCTGCCTTCATCCGTCTCCAGACCTCTGCAGCTCCGATTGGCTCCGCTGCCTGATGCTGCAGCTTGCTCTGGGGGTGGCTTCTCTCTGAGGCCCTGTGGCCCTCATCGCTTGGCTTTTATACAAGCTGGCTTTGGAACGTGGCACATCTGAGCAAGCTCCCATTTATCTGCGGCAAAAGGACTGGGTTGGTTTGTTTTTTCCAGCCTCTCTCTTTGACAGCGTTTCTTGTAGAGCTGAGGATGCTGGTAGCAGCGGCTCCACTCTTAGATTTGCCGCGGCTACTGGCTTCTATTAAGAGACTGTGCCTCAAAGAGGATCTTTGAGGCCAGTCTAGCCGCACCCCTGGGACTGTGTTGAACAAGTGCACCAGCCCCTCCCCCCCTCTTCCTCAGAGGCTGGCTCGTCCCTCTGCAAACACCAGAGCGTGCTGCTGACGGAGCCTTGAGTATTTATGTGCGCGGCAACATCTGAAAGACGTTGCGCACATGGTTATGGCTCACGCAATGCTCTGTTTTAACACCGATCAAAGCTCCAAAGGCTTGTCTAAGCCTGGGAAGTTTGAATGGGGGTCATTACATCCAAGTAGCTACGGTGGCACACACCCCTGATGAAGACGCTGCACCAGTGCAAAACTGCGCTTGAACTGGTGCAGTACAGCCCTGTGCGGGACTGGTGCAGAGCCCGGCAGTGGGACTAGGATTCGGTGGGTCCTGCTGGACCCACTGCCATAATAGCCGGAGTGGGACGGGAGCGGGATTACAAATAGTCCCGTGCAGGGCTCTGTGGTGCAGCTGATCCCAGTAAAAGGCCAGGGTCGAGTCACTTATGTAAGCCGCATCTTTTACCAGGGCAGGGCATCTGCATGGCGATTTGCACCCACTTGTGCACAAACAACCCAGTATAGACAAGGTCTAACTCTGAGAAAGAGCCACATGCTCCAACTTCCTTCTGGTCCCCAAGCCGATTCCCTTCCGTTCCTCCCAATTCATCTGGTGCAGCGCAGCAGAGAGGAAGTTTGCCTCTCTTCCCTCCTGTCCCCTCTCTTTCCTACACACAATAAGGGCTGCTGTCCAAACAGAAGAATTAGCCTCCGGTTTTGAACTCGGCTAGTCCCTTTGCTGAGGAGTGAAATTAGCAAAGATCTGTGCTGAGAAGAAGCCAAGCCAAGAACACTTCCCTGGGTGTCATTAACATTTCCTGCCCCAGCTCCATGCTGTGATCTCCTTAAATGTTTTATACTATTTTGCTGCCAGCCTGGCACTACCTGGGGATTGGTTGGAAGGAATGGCTCTAAGCACTTCTCCCTTCCAGGACAGGCCCTCAGAGTGCCGGTGCATCTAATGATGAGATTTCAGGGAAACGGATCTTTGCTGCAAATTGTCCCCGTTGCTCCCAGTTCCATCTGGGAGCCCTTGACTCCATTTCCCATTACAAAAGGGAAAAAAAAAAGTTTTCACCGTTTATAATGATAGTTTACAGTTTCGTTGCAGATTACATTTCCCTTCTCCTGCAAACCTTTTCACCACTCCTCTCACCGCTTTCTCTTTAGAAAAGTCATTAAGGCGGGAAGGGAGATCAGCCCGTTTCCCCCCCGTTTCAGAGAGATTAATCTGTTTTATTGGTATTTCAGTGTCATCTCTGCTTCAATGTTCTGGGTATTTGCATAATTTGCAGTACCACCCTCTTCCTGGAGACAGGAATAGAACCGGCTCCATTTTCACTTTAATGCTATGGAGTCACCTGATATTTCATTACATTTCTCGAGGGTGCAGTGTCATTGGATGGTTCGAACTATAGATGAGGAGTCTGGGCTCCTGGGAACTAGTCACACCACTGCCTTGCTCTGTGACCTTCAGCAAGTCACCGTAGCTCTCTGTGCTTCAATTTAGCTGACTGTGCGTTAGGAATAGCACTCATTGTCTTCCATGACTATTGGGTGTCTTGACTAGCATTCGGCTACTATGCATTCATGCAGAGCCTAGCACAGCAGGGCCCAGAACCTGACTGGTGGTTCCAACCGCTACCAGATCAAACAGTAAATAACAATTTGTGAATACACCAAGTTCCTTGGATGCAAGTGGATAAAGAAGGAGCCGCAGCCTCTCTTATCAGGGCAAGGGTTGTTTGTTTTCTTTCCTAGTCATAGAATGTCAGGGTTGGAAGGGACCTCAGGAGGTCATCTAGTCCAACCCCCTGCTCAAAGCAAGACCAATCCCCAGACAGATTTTTGCCCCAGGTCCCTAAATGGCCCCCTCAAGGATTGAACTCACAACCCTGGGTTTAGCAGGCCAATGCTCAAACCACTGAGCTATCCCTCCCCCCACAATTACTCATGAACTACAATCTATGGAAGCGCCACTAAACACTCACTCTAGTCAAAAGTCTGTACACTCCTTTTATTTCTTTCTTTTTTTGAAGGCTGCGGAGAAGTAACTTGTTTTGTTTTGACATCCATTTCACACACACGCCCTCTCCCTCTTCTCAACCCTGAATTTTTCCAACGTCAACCTACAGCTGCAAAATGGAAACACACCCAGCATTGCTGGTAAGGGCCCAAAGGTTTGTTTTTTATAGGATATCTAGCACATGCCGAGGCAGGATTTTCAAAGCCTAGTGTATAAGTAGCATCCTCAAGACTTACATCTGATGTTGCAAAACAGGTAACTGCTCACCTCCGTCCCATACTGCATGGAGGTCTGCTCGGGCCTAATTTTAAAGCCTGACCCGAACGCGACTAGCCCACAGCTGACCTGACCCACGCCTGAGAGTGCCAAGACATTTTCAGACCCAACCCGAGCCTTCCACTTGCCGCTGAACCTGGGTCAGCACCCCCACCACTGCCTCATGCTTGGGACATGGCCAGCGGGGGCTTCCTGCTCTCCGTGCCCATGATCTGTCTGCAGGCACTGCCTTGCCGCAGGGTCAGCGCAGCCGCAGTGTCCCGCTCCTGCTGGGCAACGCCACCTCGCTGCTGCCTGCGTGCTATAGACAAGAGGTGCTAGGGCTCATTGGTGCATTTGCTATGCAGTGCAGCGAGACGGTGCCAGCCGGCAGGAGTGGGGCTCGCAGCTGTCACTCTGCCAAGCCCACAGGCAGGAGAAGGTGAGCAGAGACAACCCAGCCCAAGTGTGTTCGGTTATTTTCAGACCTAACACGTGTAATCAGGTCCCAGTAGGTTTGCGTCTAGTTCTGCAGGCACATTAACCCAGCCAGTGCTTGTAGTGCTCATCTGCACGAGTATTGTTTAGGGGTGCACTAGATATCAGTGCAAATTTTGCGGGCACCAACCTTGGAAAATGTCACCACCACCACCAGGGTTGGGATGTGTGCTCCATTTGTGATTCTGTGCAGGATTAAATAGCTATCAATTCATTTCGAGGCCAGAGGGGACCATTAGGAGCATCCAGTCTGAACCCTGCACAACACAGACCAGAACGTTTCACCCAGTGAGGCGGAGGTGCCTTAAATTCCATCTCACCACACTTGGACCCGTCAAGGGTCGCTTACTTTCCTGCTTCATAAGCATTTGTCCTCCCCACCAAAGCTAGCCCCTCCGGCGAACAGGCCCCTGATTGGATCAGAACCAGACGCCCAGCAGTGCAGTATGGGTGCAAGCTAAGAGTGACTGCAGCCGCCTACACAGCCCCGGATTGTGCACAGCACTTTTCTTTTGGACGAAAGCCCACCCTCAGCCTGTCTCAGGTGGTAAGGAGACCGCAGGAGCTGAAGAATTAGAACCGACTGAATAATGGGTCCCGTCTTCAGGAAGAAAATGAAATTTGCCCTCGTGTTACTGAAAAGTTGCACTTGACGCTCACTGCACATTACATGGAAAAGGTCAGTGAAACAACAAACACAAGGAGCCAAGCTGGCGAAAGCAATAAATAGTGACAGCCGCCTTTGTCTAATTCTTCAGAGCCTCTCGCTCTTCGCTCCAACACTGGCAATTTCACGTTCTCCGGAGCGGCGAGGGCCACAGACAAACGGCTTCACTCTGACGGGAGGGAGAGCATCCATGCGGCTTCCCGGGGTCTTCCTGGGAAGCCCAGGGCTTCACTTCAGAGTAAAGCAGGGATTTCAGTCGGACACAGAGTTATAAAACAGAGGTGGGGGGAAGATTTCTGCCTCCCCCTCGTGCCAACAGCTATTGGGTTTTAGTTCCATGGGGTTGGCATCTCTCTGTCTGAATTGGCTCTGTATGGAGAGCCGGGGCAGTTTCCCGGGCGGTACGAATATAACGCAGTCAGCAGCTCTGCTGTTGGGGAGGGGGAGGAATCTCAAACGAAAGCTGAGCAGCTCTGATGCCAAAAATACAAATGCAACAGAAAAGGACGTCTTCCTCCCACACAACCAACCCCATAAATCATTCCACACTCGCCGCGTCTTCCTCACAGCTTCCCCGCCCCCTTTTCAAGTGTGAGTGAATGCGGTGCTGCTGAGGGCTTGCCGGATTGCCAAACCCCCGAGACTGAAGCCTTCTATTTATGCAAAAAATAAAATAAAATAAGGACATGCAGACAGAGCCTGATGCAGCAGTGAGCCTCAGCTCCGTCCTAGAGAGTTTGCTCCCTGGGGGCGGAGAGGAGAAAAAACTCTCCATGGCATAGTCATTTTTCTCTCCCCGCTGGGACTGCCAACGGTTGTGTTAGGGTTAGTGTGGGTGGGGTGCTGGGGGGAGGGGGGAGTTAGTGTCCTATAACAGATTGTCCCCAGGTGTTTTTCTAGGCCGCCCCAGCGCTGAGGAATAAAGTGAAGAGTGGAAAGTCCCCGGAAGGGTGGTTTGAGAAAGGGGAGTTCTCGGAGGCACTTCGGAAACTCACAAAGAGAAGGACTCTACTGACTGGATTGGATTTGGAAGCTCCAGGCTGCCAAGTCCTTACAGGGAGGTGTCGCTCTCCGGGTCTTACCGTCTGCAATGAAGTGCTCAGGCACATGAAGAGTGACCTTCACGGTCAAAGGGCAGGAGAGCTGGGTGCCACACACCATGGCCAGGATGCAGGAGCTGACTGCAATCAGCGTCAGGGCCGTCTTGTTCACTGGACTCTTCAGAGAGCCTGAAACGCAAACAGACATGCATATCTACACAGAGGCCAATGTGAAGAAACAGCATCTGGAGCTAAAGGGGATCCAATTTGCTTCTAAACCATCATGAGCAGCATGAAAGAACAAGAGCAATTAGATCTAACTCTTTGGGGCCCTACCCCATCTCTGTTTCTGGATATTCATCCTTACCATAGTGTCTGAGCACCTCACACTCACTATGGGATTTTATCCTCACACCAATCTTGTGAGGTCAGGAAGTGTTGTCCCCATTTTACAGATGGGGAAACCAAGGCGCGGGGCAGATTAAGTGACTTACTCAGACTCATATGGGAAGTCTGTGGCTGAGCCAGGAATTAAACCCAGGCCTCCCCAGTCCCACTCCAATGCCCTGTCCACTCAACCACTCACTTGCCTCAGTTTCCCCATCCCACTCTTGGGGATAACACCTACCTGCCTGCCTCCCAGTGTCGCTGTAACACTAAATTCATCAGTAACTGTAAGAAGGCGATGCTAGGGGAAACTGACGTTTTACTAGAAAAATGCTTCAGTTAATTATGTCTCGTGCTGAAAGGCATTGCAGTTAAGAGCAAGCCATGTTTGAAGAAAAATCAGTTTTGTCGTGTTAAAGCTTCAAGAACCCAGAATCACAGGGTTAGAACGGGGCGCAAGGGTCGTCTTGTCTAGTGCCCTGCCGAGATGCAGGGTTTGTGGTGTCTAAACCATCCAACATTTAGGGTATGTCTGCCTGGCACATTAAGCCCAGGCTCTGACTCAGGTTTAAGCCTAAGCACTCCCCTGTCCACACACAGATCAGTCTGACTCAGGTCAGCCAACACTCAGGACGAGGGTCCTAGGACCCTGCTGGGGAGGTGGACCAAAGCCCACGTCCCACTGTGGCTCGGATCCAAGCCCTGTCCTGTTGCAGTGTGGATGCAGCGTTTAAGCTGCAGACCTGAGTCAGAAGGTCCGTGTAGCGGAGTATGGCCGTGGCAGCACGGCTGAGAGACCCGGGTCCAGCAATTGTAAACCCAGGTTTACAATGCTGGGTGGATGCTTTAGCGCAAGATGACCCATGGGGGGGCACAACTCCGGAACAGCTTGAGTCACTCCCTGCTCCCGGCAGCCCTCCCCCTTCTGGAAAGCAGCCCCCTCACCCCTCCAGGAAAGCAGCAGCCCCTCCATGGAGCTCCCAACTCTTCCTCTGCCTCTCCCTGCAGAGTTAAAGCAGCGGCACCTCTGAGCAGCTCCCCGCTCTTCCGCCACTCCTGCCGCTCTCTCTCCCTGCCCAGCGCAGCTCGCCGGCTCAGCTGCTCTGAAGGGAGGGGGCCCTGCTGCACCATGTGACCCCACATGCCCCCCCCCATGTGTCACCTCTGTTGGAAACCCTGAGTCCACAAGCCCAGGTCTCACAGAGCCGGGTTTACAATGTTGTGTGGACCCTCAATGTCTTCAGTCTGAAGCTTTTCCATCCCCTTATTTCTGGTGCTGGTCGCATTCTGTTAAGATTAGTCAGTCCTTGGACAAATCCCTGTTAAGGCCCGATCTTTCAGAAGCGGCTAGCAATTCTTGGTGCTGCAATTTTTAGGTGATCCAACCTCAGCCACCTTAAAGAGACCTTAATTTCAGAGAGCAGGTGCTCTGGGCTTTTTGAAAATTTGACTCCTTTAAAGTGCTTTAAGTTGGGCATGCGCAAACTGAGGCCCCCCAAAAATCATGTTTTAAAATGTAGACCTAAATTTTCATAACTTCAACTACCGAATCGATTTTCTTCAAACTTGGCTTGTTTTGCAGATCTTGCTGAGTCTTAAAAATATCAAGCCAAGTCTCAAGGCTATGTGCAGTGTGAGATCATTAACTACACCAAATGTCATACATTGGTACAATATTATATATTGCACTAATTAACAAGTGATACCTAGATGCTAATTATTAATATTCCTATACTCACAGACATCTAACAGTCAATTCAGTGAGCAAGAAAACAACCTGTGCAGAGCAAACCAGAGCCAGTGGATATTACAAGAGGAGTTTTATTTTGTCAGTCACAGACGTTTACTGCTTCTTTCGAAACCCAGCTCACAAAGGGCCTCCCTGCAAGTGCTAGCTAAAATATTTTCTGACAGTAGGAAGATGGATCCCAATTCTACCCTGACACCAGAGCGATGTGTGGGTCACATTGAGCCCTCCCTCAATCTCTGTGGGCCATCTGTCTAACACCACAGATCGTATAACATTGGCACCTCAGTAATCATTCAGGAGCGGTAGTGCCTTTGAGGCTGAAGAGAGAGCCCAGATCTGCAGCTGCCAGGATGAATGCTCTGTGTCAGCTCAGAATATGGCACAAAGCTCGGTGCGAGCAAGGTTGGTTTGATTTGGTTATTTTTAGTGAAGGGGATAAAGTGAAAAAAGAACTCAGCCGTTTGCAGCTCTGGACAGACTGGCCCGGGGACAGAACCGGCTGTGAAATCCTACAGCGTACATTGCTAAGGAGCCCAAGCCAGGCCAATGGCCCATGAGCTTTCTGGCGGGAGAGGCCAACTTGCTAGCTCTATACAATGAAAGGGAATTGAAGCAGTGACTGAGATCGATAACCATTGTGGGACAGCGGATTACCTCATGGGACACAAAACTCTGTGTGCCAAGGGCTCCTATTGGGCCCAGGGCGGTGGTAACCAAATGTCATTACCATCTGCCAGCTGCTTGGCAGTCCATGCTGAACGGAGTCTGTGGTCACCGTCTGCTGCCCAAAGCGGCACCGTCATGACGACCACCCATGCTGGCACTCTCCAGAGAGGCCACTGAGGACAAATCACCCTCTCATCGACAGCAGCCCCAAGACACATTAGTGGGGCAGGGTGGAGAAGCTCGAGTTGCTGCTGTTCGTGCTGCATCTGCTCTCGGTTCCAGGACTTCACTCTTCCATTAAGAGATTGCACAAGCACTAAAATTGACTTAAGGCGACCTTGCATTTAGCAATTCTGGAATGTTTGGGAAGCAGCCGTGTAGCATCTTAGAACCTTTTTCAGGAATATAAAGACACTTAAGTGAGAGCACTGATCTCCAATTAACTTGAGCCATCACTGCAGCCTCTCTGACAGTCTAACACAGATCACTGAATTCCCAGCAGAGCTGACTCTCTCTCTGGTCAGAATTCGGGGAAAACGATTTATTTATTTCTGGAACTCAGTCTCCTTTCCGACCCCCACCGCCACACACGCACAAATCACATCAGCAAAGTGAGACCTAAAGTGCATTTGTTTGAAAACAACAGGAAATACATCCACTGAGATACTCCAGGGCTCTTTACCTCATAATTTGATCGAGTCTGCTTTTAGAAATATTGGTGTCAGAACAGAGAATCACATTTAAGTTGGATTCAGAGCACAAGCCAGATTTGAAGCTAATGGGAATATATGCACCAAAAATGCAGAGTTTTTTGCAGCGCGCTGGGGGTTTGCAAACAGGGTAAAGGTTTGGGTCATTCAGCACTGAATTAGAGGTGCTGATTTGCTGGACAGCTCCCTGTGACAGAGGAGAGGAAAGTACAGAACATGCATATTTACACAACACATTTCACATTCCATGTGTCCCTGAAGAGCTGTACAAGCACCTTCCCCACTCCCAAAACATACCCACCACTCAAACTTCTAGCTCTGCCACCGACCTGCTGTATGATCTTGGGCAAGTCACTTCTCTGGGCCCATTTTCCCTGTCTTGTTTATTTAGATTGCAAGCTCTCCAAGGCACAGGCATGCAACCGATCCTGGCTGGGGCCACTAGGTGCTTTTGTAACCAAAATACATCGGTGAGCGTGGAAACATTCAGAGTCACAATAGATGAGAGAGCGCATAGCAAATTCATATTATTTTGCCCTTATAAAGCCCCTTTCAGCCCAGGATCTCAAAGTGCTTTAGAAACAGTAACCCGCAAATCCCAGGGAGATAGGCAAGTATTCCTCTGCTTTTACAATTCAACTGAGTCACAGGTATGGCAGCTTGCCAAAGGTGAGTCAGTGGAAGAGCTGGGAGTAGAAAGCAGGGACCCTGACTCCCAATCTCCTACCCTGCCTACGTGCACCACTAGTGCCATGGTTCTTGATGCACCACCATTCACTCCACAACTTGATTTTTTTTTTTTTTTTAAAAGAAAGTGGCACGTGAACCAAAAAAGCAACCACTGTATCAGACCCGACGACCTCCTCTTCCTGCGGAAAAGCACAAAGTTTGAAATAGCGGAAGGCCTGAGCATCTGAGCTCCCGGCCGATGGAGCTGAATGTCGGAGGGAAGGAACAATGTACTGCAGTTCTCATTTCACTGCCGCTCCTCCCACATCCACACCCCCGCTCTGTTTCCCTGCTCATTTTCATCGTGTGTATCTAATTACTGACATCCCGAACAGTACACGCCATCGCCCAAGGGTGGCGAGCAGGGGGCTCTGTTCAACCGAGCTGCAACAACGGGGCTTATGTTTGAGCTGAAATTGGATTTCCGATTCAGCTCTTTATTGCTCGAGGCCAGTCTGCTGCCAGGTTCTAAGGGACGCTAGCCGAATACGCAGCTCCTTCCCTTGCTCGTTAAACAGAGGGGCATTTTTCTCGTTTTCCATCCCATCGCCTGCTCTTCAGACCACTAGCGCTCCAGCAGAAGCACTTCTGTGCTGGGTTTAAACACCCATCTGGAGATAAACAGCTTAGTGCCAGATCTCTCTCAAACCCAGGGAAATGGACGCTTTACGACCTGTCGCTAACTAAACAAACCTCCAGGGGTTAGGCCAGAGGCATCTGGGTTTGTTTGAGAGGCACAAAACAAAACAAAAATCCAACCCCACCCTTGCCCCAGGGACATCCAAACTCCCAGGTTTTCCAATAACCGCCAGCAATCATTGAATTGTCTTAGGTGACTTAGGCTGGAGACCCAAGCTTTGCTGCTCTGAATTTCTCCCCCCACGCCTGGGACTACCACCAAGATGTTCGCACAGCAGTTTGCCAATCCCATCCAGAGGCTGGCCCCA